AGGATTTCAATTAGGTGTTTAGAACTAGTTCTGGAATTAAAATGTCAACATGTATTGGTTTGCTAGAGGGCATATTTAAGGTCATTTCACAGCCTTCTCAGGATTCAGGACTAATTTCCTGTACCGATATAATCAGTCATTTTCTTGACCATAATTGCTGGTTATGTTTTGATCACAAGCTGAAGACTTTTCATCTGAGATTTCTGAATACTATTCCATATACGGTAAGCATACCTCTCCACAGTATTCACTGTTGGCCTGCTCAGTCTGGCCTTGGGAGCTTCTGGTTTGGGGTTTCTTTAATTGGGTGGAAAAATTCTTGAAATCATGTCATCATGAATGTTTTTTTACCAGAAATGGGGGGGAAATAAGCAAAAAAAATCTGTTTCATAAGCAGCAGAACTACAGAATGTTGGTTTCTGAAGGATCTTTATCCTTCATCCCTAATGACTGTCTACCAGAAAAACTACCCTTTGCTCAACCGTTCCCCCCACAAAATATGGACTTGAACTCTGTTTGCATTAATTTCTCTCAGTGACCACTCTAATAAATATCTCTCTTTTTCTTCTCTCTCTCTTCTTTTTTTTTCCTTTTCACTCATATTTCCTTGCTTTTTTCATTCTCTTTTGCTCTCTTTCTCTTCTACTCTTGTCATTATAATTATTTCACAGATTTTCATTCCTCTATGAAACCTGGCTTATATTAGCTCATAGATTCAAAAATTAGGAGGAGGAGGCTGAGCAGGCGGCACGTCTGTATATAATCCACACTTCTGTAGGAAATCAGGCTAGAAACCTTCATATCTAGGTCAGTAGGATTAGTTCACAGTCTCTCTACCTTTCTTCCCCTCCTCCTCCAGGCTCCAACTCGCAGCTGTCCTTCAGCATCGCCTCTGGGGACAGCTTGGGACAGTTCAACGTCAACAAGAACGGAGTGCTGAGCATCAAACAGCCTTTGGATCGGGAAAGTCAATCTTTCTATAGCCTTGTCGTTCAAGTGCATGACATGGCTGCTCCCCCAGCGTCCCGATACACGAGCACAGCTCAAGTTTCCATCATTCTGCTGGATGTCAACGACAGCCCTCCAAGCTTCATCTCCCCGAAGCTGACCTACATCCCAGAAAACACGCCGATAGATACGATCGTATTCAAAGCCCAGGCAACGGATCCGGACAGTGGTCCAAACAGCTACATTGAGTACAGCCTGCTTAGGCCTTTGGGAAACAAATTCAGCATTGGCACTATCGATGGTGAAGTAAGACTTATTGGGGAGCTCGACAGAGAAGCAGTCTCTAACTATACATTGACTGTGGTAGCTACAGACAAGGGACAGCCATCCCTTTCCTCATCTACAGATGTTGTCGTTATAGTCCTTGACATTAATGATAACAATCCCCTTTTTGCACAAAAGCTTTATAAAGTAGAAGTTGGGGAAAATACTTTAACAGGGACAGATTTAATCCAGGTGTTTGCTGCAGATGGCGATGAGGGTACGAATGGGCAGGTCCGCTATTCCATCATCAGTGGAGATCCCAATAATGAGTTTCGGATCGATTCTGTTACGGGTGTGATAACAGTTGCTAAGCCTTTGGACAGAGAAAAGCAGCCCTCCTATACATTGACTGTTCAGTCGTCTGATCGTGGAAGCAGCCCAAGGACTGATACCACTACAGTAAATATTATTCTGAAGGATGTTAATGATTATATTCCCATGTTTGAACTTTCTCCATACGCTGTAAATGTCCCTGAGAACTTAGAGGTACTTCCAAAAGTCATTCTTCAGGTCAGTACATTCAGAAAATAAATATGCTTTTGCTATACCTTCATATATGTAATTAATATGTGGTATTTTTCCTCTGAAATTAAAATGAAAAAAATCTACGACAGAATTTAAAAGTTCTTTTGGGGTCTGTAATCTCATATGTAGTGCTTGGCTACTTTTTTTTTTTTTTAACAGAAAAACGCACTGGGCTTTTTACATTGGGCTTTGGTGTTAACCTTCACTTTTGCACATACCCTGGGATTTTAAGAGTTTGCTGTACTACCTCAGATTGGTCTTAACTTTCATGCAACAGATTCCTAAGTCTGTGATCATTGGCTAGAGAATGTGTGGGTCTGTTACAAATAATGAGAGATCATTACATGGATTCAGAAAGCAGGAGATGCAATACATACTTAGATGCAGAGCTGAGCCTACACCAAGTCATCTGTGGTTTTCACTGAACCCCTAACACGGTCTTTACTGTATTTATGCCTGGGAAAAAGTAGTAGTCAATTATTTAGTATTTTCAAACAGCACTTTAAGTTCATTACTGCTCTGTTGTTGTTTCACAATTACGGATAATTTATACTATGTTTTAAGACTTTTGGATTAATTCAATCCACCAATTTGGGTCAGTATCATGATTTTCCTCTGTTGCAGAAAAATTATGAACCCCCCAAACTCCTCAGTTATTGATACTCTTCCCACACGTTTGCATTGCTTTTGTAGGTCGTAGCAAGGGACGATGATCAAGGCCCGAACAGCAAGCTCACGTACGTGCTCACGGGTGGAAATGAGGAAGGGGCCTTCACGCTCACAGCCAGCGGAGAGCTCCGCTTGGTGCACAGCCTGGACCGGGAGACCAAGCAGCAGTACGTTTTACTCATCACAGCTGCTGATTCAGGTAATGCAAATGCACCGCCTCTTCTAGATGTGGTTTGTTTTTACCGGAAAATAATCTGTATTTTTAGATCTTCTCAAATTTAGTGTTTAGAGATTGGTACCTGAGTTGTCATCTGGATCTCAGTGGTAAAAGCGAGGCTCGCCTGAAGCCAAAGGGAGCTTCCATTTCATGAAATTGGGGTTTCATCCTTAGATATAGATGCCTGATTTTAGTGAAATTTAGGTAGTTTTTTTTTTTTCTTTTTTTCTTCCCCCAGTAATAAGAAGTGCTCCTAGCTGGGTCGTTGGAGCCTTTGAACAGCAATGCAATGTCACATGCAAAAATATCAAGCCAGTGGCTGGAAAACAGCTGAGGGCTACTCAGTTAATCCTGTTGAACTGTTACCTCTGAAATGTGATGTCAATTAAAATAAGCAACACTTTTTTTTTTCACCTTTGCTTAACATCCAGTTGTGTAAGTTTGCTCTACAATCCCAAATGTTCTCCCAGTTCTGTAAGTGTAAAGCACAGACATGATTTCTTGTTAGAGAGTTTAATTACACTTTCACTTTAGGTCCAAGACTGAAATTTCTGTTGTAGACTTTGGTATGAATATTAGTAATGAAGACAAATGGGATCATATTCCAGACTGATCTTCAATCCCCCGGAGTCTGATGGGGATCAGTAACATCTGAGGGGATGTTACTGTAGAACTTGGTCTTACTTTCTAATAATAAAAATAGAAGCAAACCCAGCTTGTTGACAAGTTGATACAGTTTTGATTTCTGCCATATTGTGTGCAGGACCTTATGTCAGTGACAACACTTTGCCAGTATTGGCTTATATTTTCCTATTGTAGCAGTGCTTGGGTATTTTACAGCCTGAGCACAGCTGAAGCTGCAGAATGCGGTTTTAGGATTTGACATATCATTTATCTTGCATTTTGGCTAGAGCTGTGGTACCATGTTGTACTTTTTTAACTCTGGCTTTCCATTACTGTGTAGCTGCAAAGGGCTCGCCTGTGACCTGGGCTTGCTTGCACTCAGACATCCTTACGGTCCTGTGGAAGCTTAGGCTGGATGCATAAGGGAAAGCAGACACTGGATGTCTGTTTAATCTCCCAGCCCATGTTGGCAGGAATCAATTAGGACTATACAGAGCTTCGACTTACATACAAATTACACTAAGTCTGAACTGATAAGAGGCATATCATACAGCAAGCAATTACTGTCTTTCCCAGGAAAAGGAGGAGAGCAAGCAGTCAGTTTAACTCCTCGACTAGTGTTATGTGTAAGCCAGAAGCCTGACAATAGTACAATCTTTTCCTAAACTCAGCTTCCTAAGAAATGTCAAATCCAGGAGAAGGTTTACCCAGCCGCAGCAAATAAAAATATTTATTTGTGTTGGGAGCCTTCTGAGTTTCGAGTAGTCCATGGGGGACTTGAATACATGAAGTGCCCATGGGGCTTTTGCCTTAAGCGTCTGACTAGAATAGCAGTACATTTTGTTAGTTCCTATATAACTGTGTAAATGTGCTGATTAAACATTATTGAAGCTGTTGTTTTAAATTTGCTGTGTTCTCATAAAACTAACTCACAAGTTGTTATTCCCTCTTATTGGTGACAAAGGAAACTTGCAGAACTGTTCAGAAGGAGATGTTAATAGAAACTTTAAACTAAATTTAACTGTTGCACTGTGTTTAAGTTTGCCATCTGACTAATCTGCAGTGATTTAGTATAGTTTTTAACCAGTCATATGAATAACATTAGATAATTAGGCTGGAGACTTACTCTAATTTCATACCGTCAAAGGAAATATTTTGAGCTATGCTGAAGTATATTCGTGATCAACCTAAACTAAAACATCATAGGAAAATATCCTGCTCCTGTAGAAGTCAATGCCAAGCGCCCCTTTTGTGGAGGCAGGATATGGACCATAGTCATAATAAAGCCTTTAAGTACTTTAGTTATATTACATACTTAAGAAACTATAGGAGATTCTTGTTTTGTTTAAATTAGTAATACTGAGTGCAAGCTAGTCTAGACCTTTGCTGGTCTGGCATTTGCTTCATGAAATAAGGTAGTTTGGGCTACATCATAAGTATGGTCATGACACTATGCTGAAATAAGTAAAAAGAGTACTCTGAATGTTATTTTTTTGAGCAGCTGATGCACATTTACAAACACAGACATACCCCATTCTTCTCATGCTCTGTTTCTTTGGTTTCAGCCTGGCTTTTGCATAGGGGCAATGCAACCACGCGTGGTCATGCACACACACACACACACACACACACACTTCTCTGTTGGAAAGCAGTGCCCACCAAAACGTTGAAGAAAACAGACTTCCCGAGATCATTCTCATTCTTATTATCTCTGAAAATAAATCAGGGGAAAGGTATTATCCTTTGCATCCTTTGCCCTTTTTTTGGAGGTGAGGGGAGGGAGGCGCTTTTACTAGTTGTATAAACAAGTCTTTCAGATTGCCTTAGCAGCCCAAGCAACAGTCTTACTATATACGGTGCACCTTGTTTAGTTTTGCACCTGATAAAAATCATGATAGATGTCCAGATGTAGTTAACTCTGGGAATGTGTGGGTAGCACGTAAAGGGCAAAATTCTGTCTCTCCAGCCCTTTTCCCAATTTCCTCAGAATCTCTGCATCTCAATTTTTATAGGCTAGACACCAGCTAATCTAAAGCATTAAAGGATAATGTCCTTCTCTAAGGAAGTTATGCCAAGACTTCCCTTTGTTTCAAGGAAGATGGCACAATGCAAACCTAGAAGCACCTTAAGCATAAAGACCTGAAGGATTCCCAGTTAGCTTTCTGCTGTCTTCCTGGTCTCCCTATAAGTAAAGATATCTGTTCTCATGTTTATTATCACCTCATCAGTTTGCAACTGCACTTTTTATAGTATTCTCCTAGCTTGTTGATGACAAAATTGATGGAAAAAGAAATATTTTTCACTTTTCGTTGTTTTTATCTGGTCACGCCAGTTCAATATATAGTTCATGGCCTCATGAGGTGCTCTGCTCTGGAATCTCAGAGATTTTCCTGTTTGGTCTGGAGGAGGGAAGAGACTGATAAAGAGTCTTCTGGCACTGCAATCAGGGTGGCATTTGGCATAGCAATTCGTGGCTACAGAGGTGTTTTCCTGCTGCATTTCAGTGAGATAGGATCTTGATTTTCAGCCCTTTTCAGTTGTTGCTCTTCCTTTGCTTTTGCACTTCTGGCCTTCTCCAACTATTGCTTGCTTTAGGGTCATAGATTAGTTGCATCCCTAAGCAATAGGAAGCTACTGCAGATACCCGAGTGTCCCTTGCTAGGGACATTGAGCATCTTCCAGTTCTGTACACCTATGGCTTTAATCATAAAGTAATTTCAACCCCCAAATTCACCCATTCCAATTTATAGCCCCTCTTGCAGCACATGCTGTAGACCAAAATGTGTGAATTATAAATATAATGACAGGCAAAATGATGAAGTGTGGAATAACATGATAGTGTTTATATTGCAGATGCTCCCCCAAAATATCTGCTAACGTAAATGCCAAGAAACCTACGTGCAACTATTTGAATGCGTCTTTATGAGTCTGTTTCTACCACATAAATCATTTGTTTTTCTTAGCTATACCCTTCTTTATGGCAAAACTGTTGGGAAAAGAGACTTTCTAAATTACTTTTTTTCGCCCCATCTGGTGGGGACTCTGAGATGGGTAAACACTGAGTTTTGGCAGCATAACAAGAACTGGTGCGCCTGCTTTTATCGTGAATGCCTTTAACTCTTTGGGCAGTTTTCTGGGGAAAATGTTAGCATTCCAACAGTGCTCCTCCTCATATTTATTGGTTGCAGGGATATAGAGTAGCACATCTGGAAACCTCCTAGCTGCTCAGGACTACTGTTTAAATGAACTGCAACCCCCATGTCATGCATTGGTGGGTCAGAAAGGCATGTTGCCTCAATGCAGCCAAAATCAAAATAGGACATTTCTAATCAGAAAGTTCTGTTCCTATGTGAATTTTACTTCTATTTTATTTAAAAACAATCTATTAACCAGTTTAGAAGGACAGTTCTGGAAAACAAATGAATGATTATTGCAGTTACTTAGCTGTTCTGCGTATACTTCTCTGGCCTGTAGGAAAAAACGCCATATGTTTTTTCTTTAGAAAATGTTGGCCATTAGCATATGCATTCTTTCCTTCAAGAATGCAGGAGGGCAACCAAACACCGGAGGTTATATCCTTCTCAGGAATGCTCTTTGGAGATAGGCTTTTTGTCTGCTTCAGGCTTAAAATCAAATGAAATCTGACAACTTAGTTCTATTGTTCTTCTCACTGTTAACACATTTTAAGATATTTTCAGGTTTAGGGTCACAGGTAAAGGATGACTATATTTTCATAATGGAAAAACTACTGCCTCTTTATTTGCTGGTAACAGTAGGAAAGACTCCCAAGGGTTAACATTATGTGAGATTTATGTGACTGGGCTTACAGACATTTATCCTCATCCTGTTTTCTTAGCATGCACCGCACTTCTACTTAACATGCAGTCTGCCATGTGAAAAGGTGTTGTCTTAAAATAAACTCAGCTATTTTCAAAACAAATTCAGCTATTCTGAAACTTTGCTGCTGTTGAAAAAAAGAAAAAAAAGCTCACAATTTGCAGTTAGGAATGCCCCGTTTCCCATGATTTCTGCATCATACTTAAATATACATATCACTTATACAATAAATGAAGCTGATACACTTACCTCAGATGCTGATCAGTTTGCATCATCTTTGTTGTCTTCTATGTTCTGTTCTATGCCACAGCTATTTCATAATAAATGTGGGTTTCAGTATCAGGCCAAGTTATTTCCACCCTATTATGGAAGCTCTTACTCAATACTATCTACTAATGTTTAGTTTTACTATTTTAGTAGTGATTTTTTAAAACTGTTTTACTGGCACCAAAACTACTGTTTTAGTAGTGTTATTTAGAAATAATAGTCTATTTCTAAACCATACAGTGGGAGAAATGAAA